GATATATATATATATTTATAGGTATTATGTATGTATGTACTATGCATGTATGTTTTAGGTATTATGACGTATGCCGAGTGATGTTTTGAACAATAAATATTCATAATTTTGATAAGTATTTAAGTTATGATGAAAATACTTTAAAAAATGGTTATGCTTTTTAAGAATTAACCTAATGAAATAAACCAGTAAATCTGTTAAGAGAATTATTTTTCGTATGATTGTGTGTGAAGAAAAAAATTATTATTAAAAAAAAATGAATGGATATAACTGGTTTAAAGAATAAAATATAAAAAAAACATTTGAAAAGTGTCAAACTATTATTTGAAACCAAGCTTAAGTTAATTTTGTTTTTTGTTATGTATGTTAGGCATCTATTAAAATATTACGGAAATTATAGCGACCATAAGTTATTCATGAAAAATTTTTTAATGTTTTATAAACTACTCATTAAAATCGTATTATTGAGGTGTACCTACATTTTGTTATTGTGCATATTTATTTAATTATAATTTATTTTGTGGCCGGGTGTGGTGCGGTTTTTGGCCTCAGTCTTTAACGTGTTTTGAGGTCTAGCATCAGATGATCAAACCAGATCAAACCTACTGAATAACCCAGGCCACAGGACCTCAAATGTTGAAGCCTTAACTCAATAAAAAATATTTTTTTTAGTTATTTATGTCAAATGATAAAAATTGTAATAAAATATGAGTTTTTTTTATATTGCATCAATTTTATAAAAGTTATGAACACTGACTTTATCTTGTTAACACTTAAAATTACCAATGTATAATATGCCAATATTGTTTTCAACATCTTGTATTATATTACCATTCATTTTGGTGCTGAGTTGAAAACAAACATTTAATATTCTTAATTAATAACTACAAATGAAGGTACCTTTTACCTAGGTAATTGTGTAAACACGGTTATATTATTCTATATTTCATAAAAAAAATGTTATTAAACAGTGCAATTTATTGTTTAAAATAATTGAATGTAGCAAATACGAGTTGTCACTCTCTTCCTAAAATGGGCCCTAGTCCTTTCTTTCTGTTTTGGTGTGAAAATGTGATTCAAGACAGGAGATATTTTAAACAATAATAATACAGGTATTATTTATATCACTTTTGCGTCTTGTACTGTTCATGATATATTATTCACAGACAGTAAATTTACTGTTTTATTAATAAAAAAAAACTTTTAAGCTGCTCGTTTTGTAAACCACACCCAATATGGCCTCTAATTCTGAGAGTTTAATTAAATTAAAAAAAAAACAATTGTATATTTTATTTTAATCTAATATTTTACACATTTTACAACTAGGTGTTAGCGTTAGTTTGAAAATTATTAAAGTTCGGTAAGAGTGCCACATCGTAATTATTAGCTTCTGTACAATAGATAAATATTTTGATTTATAGAGCATATTTATATCGTTTAAGAGAAAACTGTTTAAATTTTTGACGTTGATTATTTTTTTTATATTTTCCTTGCATGTTGTAAATATTAAATAAACTAACTTTTAGTGGAGGTTTAAAAGATTTAAAATATCATGGTAATTTCATGGTAATTGTTTTAATCTAAATTATCGATAGACAGCGAGGCCTTTTCTATCTGAATTAGGGTTAGGATATTAAATAAATATTAAACTTAACTAAAAACAACTATGTCTGCATGTAAAATTAAAATTAAACACAATACTTAATGTTTGATTTAAAATTGTAATTGTTAAATTATTAGTGTTGAAAATTGAAATAATAATATTATTAGTTTACTAAATTAAATTAAATAACATAAACGGGTTTTTATGTTCATATTACTAACAGTTATAACATTTAGATTCTAACCTATAATTATACTTACTAACTACTGTTTGACCTTATGTTTCTGTTAAAATATGTTTCGAAAACTATTCGATATAATTATTATGTAAACAATTCATATTTTCTATAAATGATTAGGACAATTATATTTTCTAAATTGTATTATTATAAGTATATAAAGTATTGTAATTATGTTTCGCCAAGTTTTTGCACGTCAAAAGAACGTGATCCAAAAAGGGAACGTGACATTTATGGACAGACGGGTTTTTGTTTGTTTAGGACCGTTTGTTTTTTGTAATTATCAAACTCTGGTCACGTTATTAATTTTAGCTGGTTGTCCATTTTCACCAATCGAGTTTTTGTTTTTCAAAGGAACTCATAAAGTTTATCCTTTATTGATTTGGTTGCTGCAGATATTAAAAAAAATCCATATAATATATTAATTTTGTTTATGTAGTATAATAGAAATTTTTGACTTATAATTATTATACAATAACACAATTTATAAAAAGAGGTATACATTAGGTCTGTCTTGGGTGTGATGATTACCCTGTCCCTAGATATATGTATCTATGTGGAGCAATATATTATTTAATATTGTGGTTATTATTTGGTTACACCTTTTTGTTTTCCAACAAAATTGTTTTATAATACTACCATTCTTTAACAATTATTAATAATATTATTTTTGAACCGGTCTGCGGTCGGCATTATTATTATATTAATCATTGATCACTGTTAATTAATTTATGCCACCTGCTACAATAATATTAAACTATGTTACTATTAGTTTTATGGCATAACTAATAAATTACAAAATAGTGTCAAATACTTTAATATTTAATATAGTTTATTTTATTTTCCTACGTCCGTTCATAGATCATATTTATTTTTTGAATATTAATCGTTAAGGTAAAACGAATATACATTTACTTATGTATAGTGTATACATATATGATGTGAAAACCATATGAGTAAAAGTAAATTCGGGAATGTTAGCTATATTGTGCTATATGTGTGTACGTTTTGTTATTCATTGGTCTTTTGGTTAATGGCCTATGGAATTTTCATGATCATTTGGAAATCCCTAATCTTTACCAAGGTCGCGAAGAAACTGTCAAGACGTCTGTTGATATCTTTTAAAAATACATTCTTTATTGGTCACGACTTTTTTTTTTTTTGTTAGTGACGTTGGGTTTTACGGTGTTGTAGAGAAACTCCATTTGGGAATGCCAGAAATCAACACTGTGATCTTCAACGGATCCACATTACGTATACTCATAATTTATTATAGTTTTATAAACAATTAATATAATATATCTTATGATAATTATTATAAGATACGTTTTTTCAAATTATGTATACATATGTTAATAATACATATGATATTATCATTGTGTGAATAATTATAATAATTTCATACAAAAATATAGATCGTAAATAGTCGTTTTGGTTGAAATTGAATGAATGATTCATACTAATAGTACCTATGCATGTGTACTGTGTAGTACTGTAGTGCATATTACAAATAAACTATGTTTTAAACTTTTAACTATAACAATTATATCATACTATAAATATTTCGTATTAATTGCTATTTACAAATTATCTGATGTCGAAACTAAGTAGTTATTTTTAATACATTGATTGGTAACTGTTTTGGTAATTGAATCTTAAAAATAATTGTTATGTTCGCGTTAATGATTTTTATTTTTAGGTTTAATACATCTACCTTTTTTAATGTAATCATGGATTCATAGTCGTTTAATAATAATTACAAAATACTAAGCTACACTTGATTTTTAGTGTTTCCTTGTAGCTTTAAATATTATATTTATATGCATAATCTTTATTATGTAAATTGCATATAACGTAGTATTATACTTTTTGTGAATTAATTTATTGAGTGCAGCTGAATTTAATAATTAGAAAAAAATTTATTTAATATAAGCAGTTACATTGTATTTGATTACAAAATTAATTTTTGGAAGATTGTTTTAAATAGTTAAATATTTTGGAGTGAAAATTATTTGTTTTAAATGTATTTTAAAGTACCTACATTGGTACATATGTAGTCATTACAAATTAAACATTGTTATTTTTACAAATTAAAAAAAATACCAATTATTCGTTAATGTTAAAGTAATCTAACCAAAGTTAAAAAAAAAACAAAAAAATCTTTTAACAAAATGTTAATTTGTAAGTCTGTAATTGCTTATAATTATAGTTTCTTAAAAAGTATTTGTAAGGTATATATTTTGTCCCTTGAATTGTGTATGATTATATGCATGAATATAAATTTATATTTTTGTAGGTTTGGTTATCTATAGGCTAGAAGTTTATTTATCATAGTTATTGATTACTTAATAAAAATAAATACTCAAACAATTAATCATAATATGCAAGCAAATAAAGAGCAGCCATAATTGTAAAATACTTAAAACCAATTTTTAACATAATAGATATAATTATAATTTGTTTACCTTTTTTTTTTATCAATAAATATAATACCTCTTGTATCTATAATTCTTATTTTTAGAAACAAATTAAATTTGAATTAATACCTATCTTATATTATGTTTTTATTTTTTTTTCGTTTCTAAGGAGAAACGTCTAATTTATAATAACATGGCTGAGTTAAAGACCTCTTGACGAAAAGAAAATGGCATTTGTCTTTAAGTTAGGTACTTCAAATTTGAGGGTTAAAATCCAATGCGTGTAATTGAAAATGTTCATTTTGAATTTTGACTTGCAAAAATAAAAAACTAACATTTATTACGAAAAGCGTTGAAAATTTTTACATTTATGTCAAAGTTGTAATTTCTTAGGAGTCTACTATTTCATGACTTGAATTGATAATGTTCTCTTATTTTGTCAAACGTATTAGAATGAGGAACTTAAATTAAATTCTAAATTTTTTCTATTAAACCTTAACAGTCATTACTGATTAATTGATCATTTGTTACGTAACGATGACGATTTACAAAGATGCATTTGTAATATAGGCATCTATATATAATAAATATAATAGATAATATGTTTTATATATTAACCTTGAAATATTCTGAATAGCTTATGTCTAAATCATATATTTTTGAGTTTATAAAATCTGTGTGCATTATGTCATTGTATTATAAATAATTATAAGCTCTTAAATATTGTGTTTTTTTCTTACAGCTCAAAATTCCATCTAAAGCTGCATTCAAATTGAGACCACGTGATGTTATTGTGAATTTGAAAAAGAAACACATTTTCGTTGGAATAAAGGGACAGCCACCGATATTGGATGATGAATTACAGCATGAAATTAAACTTGAAGAAACCACGTGGCTACTTGAAGACGGAAAAACATTCCTTATTAATATTGAAAAGGTAAAGTAAAAATAATATATTATCATACTTTGAGTTATTGCAGTGCTTCCTACGACGGATTTAACGTTCTACGTAAAGAATTAGAAATTGTTTATTTCTTATCCATTATTGTAATGATTGATTTTCCCGTTTTTATTTTTATCCCAGGATTATTATTAAAGTTCTAGGAATTTTTACCCCAAAGTAACAACTAGATCCAATTCGCTAACAGAAACCAGAAACCATGCTCAAAGTAAAAGATTGAAGCATTTTTCTGCCACAAAATTGTTCGACGGCATAACAAAAAAATCACTATTTTAATCCCCATACATTCATTCTCTCAGAATAACCTAAAATAACCTCCCTCCAAGGAATGTGTAAGATTTTAAACCCTCACACTTTTTTTTAAATTTAATAAATATTTAAGAATACATACTTACTATTTTGTTTGAGTTATTATAGATATTATAAATTAATTTATATGCTTTTTCAATGTATAGATATTGGCTCCCCTTGTATTCTGTTTAGTTATGTCTTATAACAATTAATAACAATAAAAAAAAAGTTTATCGGTATATTTTAAGTACAAGTTACAGAGTCTCCGATGTTGGGAGTTAAATAGTTAGTCTTTTATTGTACTACATTATACGTTTTCATTTGAACTTTTAACTTATATTAAACTTTTTTAAAAATGTTTAGCTAAGTTTCGAACTTTATTTTGATCTCCCGTATGTACGTGTGCTCTTACATATTTTCTTAATCTTCTTTTGCGTTTAATGAAATGTCAATTGCAACCGTAGTTTTGTATCAAATTCTGTTCATAATTGTTTTTTGATTGGGATGATTTATTATTACTTTCAAATTAACATAAAAACATATCATTGTCTTGCACTGATATCGAAGCTAACTGAGTTACCTACACACGGTTTGCATTGTGTATGTGCCATGTGTGGCAAGGATTCATCACTAAAAACCCGGCTGGTCACCCATCCGGGAACTAGTGACGCTGGCCGATGCTTGACCTTATAATCACATTAGTGGCTGAGGCCAACCACCGAGACTCATGAGGTCCCAAAAAGTAATTGTTTATTTACTCTTTAATGATGAACAAAACTAATAAATATAATAAATGCATCTTGTTGCATTCATATATCTGTATAAAGTTTAAAACAATAGTACCCTCTATTTCTTAACTTAAATCTATATGTACGTAATATATAAAGTGAGTTTCTATCTATTAGATTCATGTATAGTTATTGTAAACTGTATGTATCAAGTTTTTATAAAAATTGTTTACACTGTCAACCATTTTTTATTTTTTATTTAAAACGCCAAGGGACAGCGTTAAATAATTTATGACACACCAAGAATTCAAATTTTTTGGGAATTATAGGACATCAAAGGACTTTAGTGGAAAAGTACCAAAAACTTTTGATATCGAAAAATGACAGTACAGCAACTTTTATACCTATCTGATTATTTTGTACTATAATGATCAATATATCTAAGTAGTGTTTTTTAGTTTATCTGTTTATTTTATTATTAATTTATAACTATTATATATTGCACGACTGCTGCGACTTTAAATCGTAATTTTGTACTTAAATAATCTTTTAAAATATATTATTATCATATCTATATTGCAATATGATAATCTTTGGCCTCCGCATATTTGCAAACCCATCTAGGCATGATGGAAAGATGGTATACCAAATGGAAATTTAAAGTAAATCAAAATAAATCAGTACACACCACTTTTACACTAAGACAAGCACCTTGCCCAAGGGTACTACTTTATGGCATCCCTATTCCATCATCACCTTCAGTAAAATACCTTGGTCTAACCCTCGATCAACGCTTAACCTGGGCTCTACACATTCGTGAAAAAAGACTATCCCTAAATAACAGGCTACGTATGCTTAAGAATTTAATTGGTAACAAAGCCACCCCTATTAATATCAAACTTCTCTTGTATAAAACCTTATTAAAACCCATTTGGACATACGGATTGCAGCTATGGGGAAATGCTAAAAAGTCAAACCTGAATAAGATTCAAGCTTTCCAAAATATGGCCTTAAGGAAAGTATTTAACGCACCTCCATATATATCAAACCATACCCTACATTTAGATTGCAACTTAAATACTATTCACGAAGAAGCTAAACGTTTTTATAAAAAATTTCATAATCGTCTATCCTCTCATTCAAATCCACTCATTAAAAACTTATCTTCCCTCACTATCCCAGGTAGCCCTCCAAGGCGACTTAAACGGAAATGGTGCAGAGATTTTTTATTTAACTAATAATAATAAGATATAACTAAATATATTATATTTATTATATAATATAAATACTAACATATATCCAAATCGCATATGATTAAACCTAGACGAAAGTGTCATCAGTGGGTGGCTTCTTTCCTTAAATTTATGTATATCACCCTATTCTTTGTTTCCCTTATCGCACATATACTTATTATGTCTAAGATATAGATTGTATATTTTCTTCTAAAAATAAAAAAAAAAAAAAAAATATTTTAATATGATGCACATTTATGAATGCATTATTTTTCTTATAGAAAACAAAATTAATTATATTTATTAATATAGTGTTTATAAAAGAAACAATAAACATTACTATATTATAGTTTATAATATGAATTTTGAGGTATTGTGATTTTCTTTAATCGTGTAAGCTATATAGCTACATTAGGTTATTATGTGAACAGCGCGATGTTAGTGTGACCATCATTAATATTGGTACGCTTCCAGTTAAACCATCTTTTGATAGATGTTCAGAGTGATATCTAACACTTCTATAGTTTTTTTATTTATTGAAACGTGTAAAATGTGCGTATAAGATGTATTAATTTATATTTACACCAATTTTAATCAACTTAATCTAGTCATAATTATTTGAACCCTTAAGTTTTTTTTATGAATCATAATGACATGATACTGCAGTAATAAATTTAATTTTAAAAATATTTATTACATTTTAACAAATAATTTATTGGTTGTAAAATGTGGTGATTTTGTAGAATTTATTTACCTATTCCAATTTGTTTCTTCTCTTTAGTCTTATGATAATACTTTCATATTTCATAGGCTTGTAATACTATGTGTTTGTAAAATTAAAATATCAGTTCCTTTAAATTAATCGGTGGTTCGTGAACATATAATAAAAATAAATGTTCAATTGAATAAACTTGAGGTATTCGTTAAGAAACCATGCAAATAAATGAATTAATAATAATTTAATTACACAATAATAATATCAGGTAATTCTTTTATTGAAATGGAATCCTATTCACGTGTGTCGGATATTGCGCAACTTCTATCTAAACATACATAAATTCTTCTGAAGTACCTAGATTTATTTTATTATAATAAAAAATACAATATTATATAGAATGTATACATGTTAAGACTATTATAATAGTATATTGATAATAATAGATCAAATACAAATAACAAATATAATACTTATGTGTTTTCTTATGTTGCTGGTACCTATTATATTAATATTTGCGAATTCACCCAGTTTAATTGGTGCATGGTTTATTTTATTACAACTAATATAGAGTAAAACAGTCATTTCCATTTTGTACACGTATCTCACATAGTTGTTTTGAATTTAAACGATTTACAAAGTCATAAACGATATTATCGCACTCGATTTTGTTTTGGGATCAAAAAAAGTACGGGACATATCCTACAGTCCTTCACAGACTACCATATAGGCACTGGACTTTCGTTTAGGAGGGCTCTCTTTAGCTAAAGCCAGTGGGCATTGGTGTATTATTATTATCTATTTTGAACCATATCATTCGCAAAACGATCTGAGCGGAATTCAGTTTACTAAATATTATTATTAAATTGTAATTGCATATAAAAAACGTACTAATGTATTAAATATACTGAACTGTGAGCATATTATAAATAGTTATGATGTATACTTTATAAGTAACCTTGCAGTACTATAACATCATATCATACCTACCAACAAATTGCATTACTTTTATTTATAAATTTATAATTTATCAGGTCATCAATTAAGATATTATAAATTTTATTTTAATTTTTTTTTCAGTTATTATGCCAACTGTTTCAATTTGAACAATAAGCTTAAATGATAAAAATAAGATAAATAATGACACTAAATAAATTTGTTACATTGTAATTTTATATATTTTTGTCGTTAAATCTAAAATTAAAATTGTATTCATTCGTGAAATTGAATGTAGGTATTGCCTAGTTAAAATCCAAATTGTTTTTAAAAAAATATGTTGTCTAAGATAATTTTAGATTCTGAGAGAAGCAATATAAATGTGTTATTATAATTATTTTGTCTGTCATCACCTTTTGCGCAGTAAAAACGTTTCGATTTTCAACATTGTGAGTGGTTACTTTAATAGTAAATTAGATCTAGTTGGTTCTTTGGGTTTTAAAAGAAAAAAATCTACAGTACCTACTTTTCTTAATAATTGGGAAAAATAAAACAACAATTAGGAAGTATTTTTAACGCAAAACGAAGTTTTTACACAGTTGGTTTTCTTATGAATCTTTATGAGCTATTTATATAAATAACATTTCAAATTTTAGATTTTGCTTTAATTTTTTCCATAATTGGAGATACTAAAAAAAAATTCGGTCCAAAAGTTTAACAATTGAATACAAAGTTCCTCATAAATTATTTATACAGGAATTTAAAAAAAGAAGTTGATCGTAAATTTACTATTATAATTTATAAACATTAATGTAATTCATAATAAAATTCATCAAAATCATTCAAATATGTAAATTATTTTGTAGTTAAAAATATATTAAGTGTTAAATTTTTATGACAATTTTGACAAATTGGATAATTAAGCAAAAAAAAACTATATATTTTTTTGCTATTCAAAATTTGCGGTGACTTTGTACGTATGTTATTATATTTTACTACACGCTTTACTCTATGTATTTATTTTGGTAAATAATTTTATATACTGTGAAAATATTGTAATCAGTAAGTTAGATGACTGTCAGAAAAACTAAAAATAAAATAAAAAAACTATATGCTTTAACATTTTTAAAATATTTAGATAAGTTGTACCTAAGCTATTCTGGTATTGTTTATTTATAGTTGATTCCGTATTACTAATAAGTAATAGTAAACTAAATTACCATTATGTATCAGCAATATGAATATACTTATAGTAAGTACTAAGTAGTATATAGACTGACAGACAGTTTCTGATCAGGGTCGCACTTTGTGTACAATAATTGATCATTCAGTTCAAATTCAACACATCTATTAAAGTGACTTACTCAATGAAGAGGTACACTGTACTTCGACTATACAGCAGACCGGTTACCTACACCTGCTAATTTTGTTTTGGGTTAAGACTGCAATCATTTAATTTCAATGTTTTTTAGGTGAATAAAATGGAATGGTGGTCGAGACTGGTGCTTTCAGATACCGATATATCTACTAAAAAGATCAACCCAGAACCTTCCAAACTTTCTGACCTAGAAGGCGAAACCAGGTCCATGGTGGAGAAAATGATGTACGACCAGCAACAAAAGAATATGGGATTACCTACGTCGGACGAGCAGAAAAAACAGAACGTTCTTCAAAAGTGAGTTTATTTTATGTTTTTACTTTCGTTGTTTTAACTGTTAATATTTTTACAGGTTTATGGAACAACATCCCGAGATGGACTTTTCCAAGTGTAAATTCAATTAACCCGCTCAAAACCAAGAAAATAAAAAAATATATATATAAAGAACAGCATTAAATGAAAATTGAAATAATAAAAATAATGTTATCACTTACAGTTTCTTTAGATGAATTCAAAAGTTTTTGGATTAAAATAAAAGTATTGTAAATTGGATTGTGGTTTTGTATTTTTGAACTGAATTGTACAATATTTTATTTCCTGATTGTATTATATTATATTGCATGACATAATATTCTATCAGCCACCTAAAGCAGCAAAAATAGTATTAGTATTATGCTGCGCACTAGTTTTATAATTTCAAATCAATATTTAATCAATTGATTGTACAACTGTACGTATAGCATTTTTTTTTGTATTTACCTAATCGTATTTATTATTTATTTCAGTTGAGCTTACTAATATAACGATACAAAATTTAAGATACGATTATGATCTGGAATGTAATATGTATTTTTGACATTGGTAAACTATTGAATAATACATTTAACAAAGAAAAATCTAAATAAGTATGTGAACAGTTAGTATATGCAGTTGTTAGATGAATTCGATTAATAACCAAAACAATTTGGTAACCATAGAGAAAACTTAAGTTATTATTAGAATTTAAGAGAAAAAAACCATTGATATGAAGTGCTCAAATGCTTATTGAGAAGTATATAGTGTGAAATACTGTCAACAGTAAATGTCATTATAATCTTGTCATTTTCAAAAGTCGTTTTTCCCACTAGCTCTGTATATTTTGAATAGTTTTAATACAATTTTGTAAGCTAATTTGTCAGCAAAAAATGAAACGTTCTCTACAAAAAAAATGTGAAATTTCTCGAAAAATGGTTGTTACTGAAAAATATTATTAAAAAAGCTACTAAATCTAAACTTATATATTATATGAAAACAAATGCATACACCTCATACTATTTTACTCGTAATAGATAAATGCTATTTCATAGTTACGCTATTAACTGTTGAGGCGTTCGATTGAAATTTACCGCTGATTTCAGTTCGATAGCGCATGGTATTTCAAAGTCTTTGCATGACCTACTACGACTTGAGTTCTGTACTTAAGAAATAAACTTACCTACCTACCCATGATCAGGCATAGTTGATGTCAATGTGGCGGGACTCTGGGGACTAAAAGCTTAATTTGTTTGAAAATTACACGGCTGCGGTGTTCTATATAATACTACAGTATTATTCCTATAGGAATTTATTTGGTCAAATTATATCAACGCTAATGAACACATTTATCAATGATTGCGTAAAATGATTGACCAAGTGATCTACGAATTTGAATTACAGCCAACGCTGCATTTTGTGAATAAATTAGATATGCACGTAGATGGATCGAGTCGGATAAATATGGAAATTGCGTAAAATTAGGTATTCATTATCGAGATAAATATCCTAAACGCTTAACCTAACGAAATCTCGACATTCCACAAGGTTAAACTTACATCGTTTTACTATTTAATAGCATTGATTATCAATTAGATACCATATATTTATTGTCAATGATAATAGTCGGTTCTTGCAGTATATCGCTAATCCGATATTCCAATCACGAACACACGACTATATCCATAAAGATTATGATTATTCTTTAAAATGTAAACCGTAAACGCCTAGAGATCGTGCGAATTGTCTTTTTATTCAAAAAACGAAACGTGTTTTAATTTGTTTTACAGCGGAAGTGTACATTTAATAAAATCATAAAAATAAAAAATAAGCACAAAGATGAACCGAACAAAATAATATTATTCTACTTTGTTTTTGACAGCTACAAACGGAATTATATTCTAACGATAACGAAACGTGTTTTCAAATGGGATAATAATTTATTACTGCAAAATGTATTGTCTAATATAATATTTTGTCCGTACCGGATACGAAGTCACGCAAGAGTAGGTATGGCATATAGGTACCTACATACCTACAGCAATAGGACAGGTATGTCATATAAACATATTCGTATGTGTTAGTGATCTATATGATGACTATATATGACTATACTGATCTATAAATGAGCCTATTTATACTTGCTATTGTAAACTTTATGAGAATTGATATTATTATATTGTGTATTTAGAACATTAATAAATATAAACTGAATTAGTACGTCAACGGTCAACACGACAATAATAATATATATAATTAATAACTCGTTTGTATAAGTATATAACGTCATACTGTTATATTATTATATTTTCATCCTGTTTATGGAAGTATTATGCGTAGGCATCAGATCTATCAATGGTCTAGCCTCCAGCCTCTATGATATGCAATCGCGTGCCTGCAATCAAATTGCGTTCAGTTATGAGTCACTCCAAATACGTGCAAAATATATGACAATATCAAAAAGCGGAAATCTGAAATTGTTGTTTTTATTATTTACGGGCATACACTATACATTTATTATGTCAGCTAGGCGCGCAAATGGAAAAATCACACCATACAAATCGACGGAAAAGTGTATTTCGCGGGAAATCAATTGGGTAAGTACCAAAATCGAAATGAATTAGCTTTGATCATAAATTGAACAATACCATTTGATAATCAATGGTATTAGGTTTATATAGGTAATAATCGATAGATCATCCTATCCTAGGTAAACTTTGACGTACATCGGAATAAATATTACCTAGTCATTACCAATAATATGGTATGTGCTGTTAAAAATCTCACGTATGATCGCAGAATCGCAGCTATCATCAGACAATATGCATTTTCGTTTTCATTTTTTAGTTGAACCTATAACTTTTTTTGGTCTTGCTTAAAATTTCTTTTTTGGACTTTTTGTTTTCATTATTTTTTGTACGTTCTTGTATGTAATTATGTATTAAAAATTTAACGTACATACATAATAAAATAGTTTTGACACTCTTGTCTCGTTGATATTGGCACAAATAATAGTTTAGTCCCTAATTCAAAATTACCCACTGCCAAATATCATCAGACATCAATCCAATGTTTATTTTGCTCCTATATTATGTGCTTGTAGATAAAGTCTGTAAAATCGTAGATATATTTAAGGTACCTACTCTAATAATAAGTATCTAAGACTTAAGTCAATTGATCAATTTTTTTCAAAACTTAAAATCCAAAAGAATTTCAAATTAAGTAAACGAACAACAAACAAATTGAATTCATAGAATTTGTAATATTGTATTCAGTATTTGTCCCAACATTGCATATGTTTTATAAAGCAATTAAAAAATAACTGGTAATAAAATTGTTAATTTATTTATTCAATAATTAGATTTGGAACTTTTTTTGAATTTATAAATACTTTATAGATTACAAGTTGTAGCTGGTACACAAATTTAGCTTGTTATGCATAGTTTGGTTATTCGGTCGTGTATTTTATTAATCAATTGATTATTATATCGAATTTTATTAAATTGTATATGAATCAGAAGCTTCACCAATAAATAGAAACCAAAATGCAAAAGCAATTTAAATTTGAAATGTATTTTTACTTAATTTTACAAAAATTTGTCTCAGAAATAAAATTCAAAAAAGAGTTTTTCAAAGTGTGAAAAAGAAACAGAGGATATCGGTAAACGAGTATAACACTACAGCAGAATATTGACTTCCAAAACTATTCAATAATCAGGTGTGTCATCACTCACCGCCTTTAGGAGCATTGAAAATGCTTTTAAGTTTAAATTCAATATATTATCTGGGGTAAGAAAGTGAATCTAGTTGATACTCGGGGGTCAAAAATAAAAATTCCATGAAAGTACTTTTTCTAATAATTGGGGAAAACAAAAAAAAAATAGGGGAAAACCGGAGAGAATATTGTAGTATATATATATACATTTTTTTTTTATATATTTTCTCCCATTATTTTTAAACGTCCTTGTGTTAAACTACAAATTAAGTAGGTACAAAACTTATAATTTATAGTTTTTAGCCAACTATACATATATACCATACATAATTATTATACTTTATATACGCTAGTAAATAATTATATCCAATATATCAAATTAAAAGAATTGTACAATGTACAAAATATCAAATAGGTACTCAAATGTTTCAGCGCTTTAATGCTCTATTGATAATGCTGATGAAAGGAAACATTTATTTTTATTTGAAAACTTCACAAAATTTGTAATTTGATCATAAATCATAGTTTAATTAGGTATTAACTAAAAATGATATTACGAGGGAGACTTTGTTTCCCCCAAGTCCTCTTCTTATTGTCACGTCTACGAGTATTGTTATTGTTTCATTACGCACTTGTTCCGAATCTTAAGCAAAAAGTTGATTTGTTTTAATATATTTTAAAATAACTATCATTGTTCAACACATATACACGCGAAAAGGAAAGGGAAGAAAATGATAGAACATTTATGCCACCACGTGTGACATGCATTGATGTATATAGGTAACAGCTGTAGCTGTAAAATATAGAGAGTAGAAAATATCGATTTTCGATGGCAATAATATTCGAGTCGCGGACTAGTGACTACTCTGTACCTACACGCGGCGCTTGGCCTATATAGATGTGTGAAGAATCGTTGTGGGAGTAGCGGGCAATCCGACTTGACAGCTAACGCGTTAAGGTGGTATAATAATAATATCTACGTACGCGTGCGCATGTTTTTAGGGTCTTACCCCTTTTAGTATAAGCTTATGGTGGGCTCAACATCGGGAAATGCCTGACAAGGCGAATCCGCACGTGTCCGTTTTTGCGGAAAAATGCGATTTCGTGTCTTCTGTGTATGTATATAACTATATAAGTATATTGTATAATGTACGCCGTACGGTGTATAACTATATTATTAGTGCAGCTGGCATGGTGTGGTGGTCGGTCTCGGAGACATTTCAACAGACATCAACTAACCGAGCGACCTTCGCAGCTGCGAGTTGCAGGTCTAGCTGTAGTGCGATATTCCGACCCTATTTAATCTCATTATACCTATATAACACATTAACACAATAAGCAATATTATCACGACAAGTGATTAAAATTTATTATAATTTAATATTATATACACGTCGTCCGATCAATCACCATAGCTCAACGATGAATTCATCG